CACCGAATGACAGTCAAATTAAACTTCGGAGGAGGTGACAAATACAATATATGTGGCAAGAACCCAATGTACCTTAGCTTGTTCTCTGCATTCTTCACTGCAAAACGTGGCATTCCCAACTTGAAGAGTGGGAGTGGCTTTGTTTTGAAGCTTTTTAAGGCAGAAGTAACAGACTATACCGATTGAGGAGAGGGAAGGATGACAAACTATTGGTTTAGCTGTGTGTATGAGTTCACCAGCTGTGATTCTCCGAGTCGCGAGAACACCTCTGCCAGCTGACTCGGTGAGTACAACTCGGATCGGAGGAGGCTGACGCAGGTTTGACTCATCGTGATGACCACCAATTCTGGTGGTGGTGGTGGTGTGAAGTGGAAAGTGAGAAGTGGCTTGTTTTGTGAATACAATTGCCTGAATGGCGAAGCACAAAGGTTACGACGGAGGAACGTTAACATTGTAGTGTTACTTTCGGACTGTTTTTGGACCGAGGTAAGATTTTATTCGCCGCGCCTTTACAAGGCTGCTCAAGTAAAGTAAATATTAGGTAACTGATTATCCCACTTGTGATGGTATTGGGCTCTTTCATGTCCCTATTCCTAATTTTTCAAAAAAAAAAAAAAAGATGATGACAGTTATACCCTTAACATTGTTATTTAGTGTAATTATTTAATGATAAATAAATAATTTATATTTTTTTGATTTGGGGTAGTTATTATCTTATATGGAGTGGGTGTTATTTGAAGAACTAAATCCAATTTACCCACTCGTTTATTTATTACTAGGCAGTTATATTATATTTACATTGTTCCGTGGTGTAATTATTACACCTAATATTTAGATTAAACTAAACATATAATCCTCAAATTATGACATTTGTGTTAATTAAATTTCTGAACTTTTTTTTTTTTTTTGGTGCAGTTGAGCTCCTGAAATCTTTAATTGCATTAGTTGAAGTTCTGAACTATCTAATTACATCAATTAAACTCTTCAATCTGGCTCCCTAATTGCATCAATTGAACTCTTCAATGTGTCGTTACATTAAACATTGTACAAGCTGTTGTATATACTTCTTGTGCTGTTCCCTTGTGGATACAACAAAAATGTCAATGGCAATGAAAAACAAGGACTATTTAGCAGCTTTATGTCTTGTATGTGCACACAAATAAAAGGCCACTTGGTGTATTATAAGGTCAATACTAAAAAAAAATATGACACAAGTTAGCTAGAACTTAAAATATTTGTAAACAAAATTATTGTAGTCATCGATGTAATGGCGATCGCCAGTCAAGGTTCTCTTCGGGATAATCTTTTTGTACTTCTCCAGGTGGTATAAAGCAGTCAATTGAAAGACCCGCTACATTCAATGCTAGATCATCAATCATCCACGTCTCCTCCAACCGCGTGATCACAGGCCCTGCCCTCAAGTTGTCACCAAACTGTGTGATGATCGCGCTTGATTGTCCCGAGTGTGCAATCATCACGCCATCCACCGTCCGATAGTCCTCGATTTTGGTCCCCATTGTGGTTTCCCAGTATGTAGGGTGGGAACCAGGTGATTGAATTCTGGTTAAGTAAGAGTCCTCCAAATACACCAACAATCCACTTCTTTGGCTAAAGTAGCCAAACATAACATGTTTGATCATCTCTGCAGTGTTGTCACTCCTTTCAGCCAGGTCCGTTTGATCAGCAGACAATTTTAACACGAAGCAATCGACGTCTGTGATTCGTTTTTCTCCCATGTACTGAGCTAAGGAAAAAGCAGCTGATACAGCCAGAGGATCAAGACCCTGCATAAATGAGCTCTTATTAACATATACACATGCTCAACTTTCATGATTTCATATAGACGGGAATCTCGATCACTGAGACGGAGTATAAAATAGAATTTTTCCCAAATTAATTGAATTGGGGGTATTTATTTCATGATCGATCATATAATTAGTTCAAACAATTTTATTTTATTTTATTTTTAAAAACATAACTTAATTTCAAAAAATCATATTTTTTAATAAGATACAAAAAATTCAGTACGGTGGAATTACCCCCGGGACAACTATGAGGCAGAGTACCGAAGTTGAGCACACTCAGAACACGTGAAGGGCACACTAGTAGTCCACTGAGAAATGAGTGGATGGTAGTGTGAAAACGTATGAGCACAAAAGCTGTAAGGGAAACAAACAAACAAACAAACAAACAAAACCCAAGTTGCACAGCCCTGCCTGCCGGCCACTTTAACAGAGAATATTCCGATGTACAAGTCTCGTCTCTTTACTCTGACAACGATGATACTACTTAGTTGCGTAGTATCCCTGGGGGGCATTAGTGGTCCCTTTATTTTGAGGATGTCAATCGAGTTTGACTGTATTCTATTTATAAATAACAGTAAATCGGGAAAAAATTAATAGTCGTTTAAATTCATTTTATTTGAATTGACAATAAATCATACGTATTAAATAATAAATATATACAAGAATATTCATATAAACTCATCCGAGAATAGAGACGAGAATGGATTGAAATTTGCCCTTCCCAACTCGCTAAACTCGTGACATATAGATATATATTTTATAAAATATAGAGCAACTTAAATTTTTATTTCATAAATATTTTTTCTCCTAAAAATATCACATTGTTCATTTCTATCACATGTTTAATTATTTAATATTTAATTAATTTATAGTTTAATATAATTTTTATTTCAAATATTATCTATATATACTATAATATACACATGTTGAAAAAATTTAATATAATGGGATTAATTTTTTGAATTCTCGAATTTTATATTACATCGTGCCTTTAGACACAGGTTATGCCTAGTATTTATATATAATATTACAAATTCCACTCACCCACCAACTTTACATTTGTTAAACAAATTATTTTTGTGAGTTTTTATGTTCGATTTATTTGTTATATAATGAGTTTCAACTTTCTTGTTTTATAGTTTTTTTTTCTTAAAATTATAAAAATTAATTGTTATGGACAAGTGCGAGAATAGGAATCATAATTTACTCACGAAACAGGGATTTTAAATTAAAATTTTTCTCGCTAATAATAAGATGAACAAATATTTTTGAACTAGGTACGGGCCGAGACTATTCCTCCACTCCCGCCCCAGACCTTGGCATCCCTAATCCTATTCCAAAAGAAAATAGTAAAAAAATTAGAAAAAAAATCATATATTTTCTCATGAGACACCATTTAAAAGAAATATTCGTGGTTATGACTAGATCGACTATTTGCCATTCATGTTATTTGGTCGTGCTACTGTTTGTATTGATGTCATGTTAGGTTTGTACCTTGTGTTTAGGGGTAATTATTAACAACAGTGATTACTTGCCTGGAAAGCTCGCCGGAGAGGACGAACACCGCCTTTGGCCGCGTGTGCGCCGAGCCAAGGAGTGTGGCGCCATGCCACATTGCCATCACTGCCGGCGACCACCTTGTGACCACCCACAACAAGCTCAATCAGCCACTTGTCAGGTACCATCTGCCACATTACAAAGCAACCCTTTTGTGGATCTCCATTAGTTCCTCCGGCAGCTGAGCCGTTTGAGCTGAGCTCGTCGACCAGGGCCATTGTTACTTTTCCGGTGGCGTACATGTTCTTCACCACCCCCTCTAATTTCCGGCAACCAGTCGCCGCCGTGAAGTGTTGTATTATGTATTGGGCTGATGACGAGACCTGTAAAGCACGGCCATTTTATGTTTCTCTTATAAAAAATTGAGCAATGGTATTAGGATTTAATTTGACGGCGTAAATTTATTATAAATTCTAATATTATATAAAAACAATTTTTAATTTAGTTGCATTCAATTAAGTTCTCAAATTTGGTTGTAATAGTATTTTTTTTTTTTTAAAAAAGGGTTGTAAAAGTAGTTTTTTTTTTCCTTAAATGTGGAATAGTTAGTAGATTGGTACCACTTTAAAGAGCATTAAATGAATGAAAATAAATTATATGTAGACGCGGTAAAAAATTATTTTTTTTTGTATCATAGTCAAATCCAATTTTATACTGGTCTTTTTAAAATGCTTTTTAAACAAAAAATAATAATTTTGTCGAAAAAATAAAACATGTGATTGTTACTTTGCAAAAGTTAACTATATTTAGTTCAATAAATACATAATAGACTTATATGTGTGTAAAATAATATATGTGTATTATTCATACAATTAAGTTTGGGAGAAACACAAACATTAAAAAAAAAATTAGCTAATTTTGAAAAATTCATTAAAAATTAGGTGATTTTTCATTAATTACAGCTCAAAAAGAAAGACTAAGATAGGTTGAACTTTTATTTTAAGTAGGCAACTCCCATAAATGTTGCATTAATTGTTTAAATGTCACAATTATCACTAATATAAAACAGGACATATTTTAATAAATTCATCCAACGATCACCACCATCTCTCTCAAAATTATGCACATTACACCATATATTCAGACACGAATTACCATAGTTCATTTATATACTAAATTTCATCATTTTTAGTAATTTATCATACATTTCATCAGCCAAATCTTAATTATGATAACTTTTTTTTTTGGTCAATTACTATTACAGAGCAAATAGACGACAAGGTTTGAACTCACGACTTTAAGGTCCGAGTGTTGCGGTCTTTAGGCCCTAACTGTTAACATCATTATGATTACCTAATAAACTGTGGTTTATAATTATAACATTCAAAAGATATGAAGAAAGTGAAGTTACAAATAAAAAAAGTTGGGTCCATGTCCTGGAAAAGGAGTCTAGTATCAAGTAAATGAAAAAGAAAACCATGATAACTGGTGGTTGGTGATGTGTAGCTAGTGAGCTTTCATCATGAAAGGCATTGCTCATAAAAGAAATGCAAAGCTAGAAACTCCAGTACATATGCTACTTTACATTAAGCAAGTAAGCTAACAAAAACAAGAGAGAGAAAACCCAATCAAATTAGCCAAAAAAATAAGTGTATTTTCTTTAAGGTGTGATTATATTACCCAAAAATATTTCGATGCCGTACTAAAATCCATTGTTAATTTTAGTTTTATTCATTTATGCTGATTGATTATAAAAATAATAAAGTAATAAATTAATCGTAAATGATATTAAAAAATTCTCGATCTGATTAAAAACAGACAATTTATATTAAAATTAGAGTATTTATGAGGGACAAATTCCTCGTAATCTCAAAAAATTCGAATTCACGACGTCTGTGTTTATACATCAGAGTTAAATATTGTGCTAACAATATATATGCATGAAATGATCCAAAGCTAGCAACCAATGTGGTGATAAGTTTTGTGAGTAAAATAAGGGTGAGAGAGAGAGAGAGAGAGAGAGAGAGAGAGTTACTTCAGCAATTGGTTGTTTGAGATGGGCTGAGACAGGAAAGAGAGGGCAACCCAGAACACTCAAGAGGATCTTGAGATCAGATTTCTTGTTGAAGAGGAGAGAGAAGTGGTTCTTGAGCCAGTTTCGCCATGTTTGGGCTTTCTTTGAGCAGTTTTTGTTGTCTTCTTCGTTTATGGGCTCTTCTGACAATGGTGCAAGACGATTCATCTCATACGCTTGCTGCTTCTTTGTTGGCTCTCTTCTCTTTTTTGGTTAAATAGATTGGTTACAGACTGCAAATGAGAGAGAGAGAGAGAGAGAGAGAGAGAGAGTAATGAAAGCAGTTGGAGAGGAAGCAAGACTACTTAAAAGGGAGCATCTGCAGACCTGCACGTGCAGTTCATGAACGTGTAGTCCAATCGATCCACCTTGTGTGAGTGTGTGTGGGGCAGGGTATCAACCTTTTGTGAGTAACGTTTAGGCCTGTCAACACAATTACGAGAATTAAAGCAAAGAATGGATGAGGGAGGGTTTAACGGATAAGAGTGATAAATGAGCCAACCTGTTAAATCTACTTAACGAACCAATTAGATTCGAGTGAGATATATTAATTCGTTTAATTGTTTAAATAAAATTAATATAATAATAAATTAAAAATTATTTAAAAATTTTAGTCAAAAAATTATATGTTATTTAATAATTAGATCTATTAAAAAAGTTTAATAATTATTATTTTTATTATAACAATAAAAAAATTTATTAAATAAATTAAACGAAACGTGTCGTGTAACCCGTTTATTGCGTTTGGTTTGTAGATTTTCACATGTTTAATTAAACGAATTGTGTATAAATTGAATGAATTTTTACACAAATCCGATTATATTTGACATCAACCCGTTTAATCCGACATAATTGACACCCTTAATAATACTACGCTGTCCAAAAAAAAGAGGATAAAAAACCGAAACCAAATGATGTGATACTAAGATAATAGTATTGTTGATCTCACTCTTGCACATTTTAGATTTAAATTTTTCATTATGATAATGTCACATTATTTAATTTCTATTTCTGGTCCATTTTTTTGGACCAGCCTAGAATTACTTAGATTTTATATTAACAATCATTTTTTTTTTTGATATTTCAAATGTTCCTGTAGATCATCGTAGAACTATCCTGTTTACATACCGGACTAATGTTAAACCATGTGTAAAACCGCCTTTTTGCACAAGCAGGTAAACCCCCCCCCCCCCCCCCCCAGGGGTATTGACAAGCATTATTAGTGGAGGGGTGTGTCCTCAAATCTAATGGATTATTTATAATTTCCAAACAACCTGCGAGTTCATTTCTTTTTAAAAAGTCATTGTAAACTCCTTTTGGACAAGTTTTCTTACACAATCCATCCGCAAGCAAATGTATATACAAAGTCTATGGTACCGAAATATTTTTTTGAACTATATTTTGTTAATTACTAATTTTTTAGATTAACTTATAAATTTTTAAGGTCGAGTTATAATTTTGTGGGATGTTTAGGGTCAATCTTAAATATTTCAAGATTGATCCAAAATATTAAGATATGATCAATCTTGATACGTTATGGTCGATCTTCCAAATTCGAGACAAAAGTGATAATTTAATTCAAAAAATTCCACTTATTTTTTTTGTTGTAACTAAACTCTTAAAAGTTGTATCTCCGTCCCTAAAAAATTATAAATTCCGATACCTCCATACTTACTTTGGTGCTCGAACCTCCGTGTCTATTCCTCAATAGTTTCATACCCTAACAGGTCATTGATTTGATCTAAAAACGTATTATAAGTTATGGTATAATCCGGTTAAATTACATTTCAAATAAGTCAAATTGCAACCCAATAGGGTCGTGAACTTCATTTAGTCATAATTTTGATTTTATTGAGTCGTAATTTACTCGGAAGTTTTTCAAAAACTCTTTCATATTCCCTCTGTTTCGTTAACAATCCCAGACCAGAAATCTGTTAATGGGCGCGTGGGACAATTTTTTTCTCAACCACCCACCATGTATGAATCTAGTTGGAATAGAAAGGAGCTTTTAAGGAAGGCAAGGCAGGCAAGGTGTCCCTATCTCTCCCTCTCTATCTACATCTAATTATGGCGTTTCTGGTGGTTTGGTAGAGAATTAGAAAGCTTTGCTCAGTGCATTTGATTTTTGGTTAGAAACTAGGAAGAATTTCAGTGACAAGTTTAACATTATTTATTTTATACCCTCAATGTGAGTATTACAATGCAACTCTTAGTTTTTTCGTTTTTTATTTCGTCAAAACGCAACTAATAGAAAAGTTATATTACAAAATTTTTAATATATTAACAATAGATCTATCAATTGTGTCAACTGAAATGAGTTTGTGTTAAAAAATATTCCATCCGCACCAGATTTGTTTATTAATTCGTGTTTAACGAATTGTATCAAAACGGGTTCGTGTCATGTGTGAACTATGTATAACTGATATATAATGAGTCATATCATGTATTTTTTTTTCTTTTTTGATTTCACTTATACTTAATTCGTTTATTAATCATATCGTATCAGGTTCATTTGTTTAAGAAATTGGTGGGTTAAAAAAGACCTAAATTCTCTAATTTCGTGTCGTTTCATATTTTAACAACCTTCACTAACGATACATTGTGAAAATTTTAATTTTTAAAGGTATAAAATAATTTTTTTTTAAAAAATTATGATACAAAGTACAATTTGCTCAAGAAACAACACAAAGCCTTGAATTGAATTTGTACAATTTTTTCAGGTAACAAATGAGACATTTAAGTGCTCGCTAAGTGTAATGGGTTAGCACCATTAAAGTGTGAGAACAATAAAAATTAACTCTCTCTGTCATATTAGTACAAGTGTCAATTTCTTATTGGCTATCAAGGCATAGGCCATTTAATTCCCTTGTAATAGGGGATCTTCCATTAAATCTGCAGTTGCCATTATACAGTGTTATACTGTTAAACCATTTTCCATTGCAATAATGCTATCCACGTCACTTTTTTGCATCACTTTTAAGATTGATAATTGATTGGAGTTGCTTATACTCGACTCGAATAAAACTCGATTAAAACTTAATTTGTATTTTAAATGAGTCGGACTTGAATAATTTTTTAAATTCATTTAAAAATGAGCTCGACAAGTTCTACTTGATTATCTGTTTTAACTACTTTTGTGCACCACTTAAAATATATACCATTAAATTAATAAGTTCTATAAAATTTATCAAATATTCAATGATTATAATTGTTTCACTTCAAATAGTGTAAGTGATGTAATGCACAAGGAGGGTTTGCAAAACATTATTCTTTCACTTGATAGATTTAGGACATAGTATATCATATCATGTGTCTCCTTTCGCTTTCGTATTTGTTTTTATAATTATATCATTTTAGCCTCTAAATTTTCAAATTAATATCTATGCTTGATGATGGATATGTTGAAATTGATAAGGAAAACAGTTAAAAAAAATTGATAAGGAAAAAAATGTCACATGACAATTGATTAAATACATATTTCCTTCATTAAAGATGTAAAATAACACCAAAACGTTAGTCTAATAATAGCTCAACTACATGATAATCGTCTTCACAAACGTAGGTTAGGGATTATAATATTTGTTATTAAGACTCAAACCAAAATATTTTTTTAATTAGTGCATAACACCCAAAACATGTAATTAATAATAAAAAAATTTTGGGAAATGATAAATTATATAACTCTATTTTTTCTTATATTTAACTTTTTTAAGTATATAAATTAACTATCAAATCTAAATCATAAAGATATATAATTACATGAATTAACAATGTAAAAACTAGTATATGAATACAATCATTGAGAAAAAATTTATCTAATTATATTTTTTTTCTCCTTCCACATTTTGAATTAATTAGAAAAAAATATTTTTTAAGGCATAAAAAAAAGTCAATCATTCAAAATTACAACATTGTATTTTAAGAGATAAAAAAAATATTTATTTATGCAATGACTTTTATACTATGTAAGATTCACTTACATATGAACTCTTATATGTTAATAGGGTGGATGCTTTGATAATTAAATGTATGACTTTTTTGAATTTTAATTTAAGATAAAAAAAAAAACTGTATTTGAATTTTAATTTAAGATGAAAAAATTGTATTTCAATAAATATAATTGAATATAAAATCATAAACAAATATGTAATTTGTGTTTCATGAAAAGGATAAAATTGAAACAAAACAAAATCATTAATGAAGCTTAGGACTTTTTGGAAATAAATTATTAAAAGTAGGACTTAATTATTCTAAGGTAAATATGATAGGACTGAAGTGTTCTTTTGAAGAAAAAGTAGGTCTTACTAGTATTTTTCCTTTATTAAATACATATTTCCTTCATTAAATATTTGAAATAACCCAAAAAATTAGTCTATTGGAGCTCAACCACCTGATAAGCGATCCACTGGAACAGTTCGGTTACCAAAAAAAAGAGATCCAAAAAGTATTACTTTACTATGTGAACTACGAGAAAATATTCATTACAATGGTGATATCACATGACAATGCTAACGTGGTATCATCAACTAATATTATCAAAACAAATACGTAAATGAACCCAACTAAAAATTAATAATCAACTACCCTATTTTTTTTCTGTGAGCAAATAACTATTCAAGTGAGGTTCACATTACACACTTAGTATTTTATTGTTGATTAGTAATACCACATCAGCATTACCAATATGATATTACCGTTGCATTCAATATTTACTCCCGAACTACGAAACGTCACCTTAGTATAATAGATGACGTGTGTTTAAATATGGAAACATGTAGAATTTTTTGAGAAATACGCGTGAGATGCATTATATTTTCTATTAGCAATTTTAAGTATCATTTAAACTCAAATTGAAAATTTTGGGGATGTAATTGGTAAAAATTTGTAATTGAGAGACCAAAATGAGATTTTTAAAGAATACAAATTTAATGATCAAAATCTAGTTTAAGAGAAAAGAAAATTAAAAACCTTAGTTCCTATGTAGTAATTGGTGGTACCTACTTGTATTTCTCAGTAGTGCTTATACATTTATTGGGAATGAGGAGAAAAAAAGTTTTTGCCATTGAAAATTGTAGTTGTGAAAGTGCTTTGAATTTTTATTAGAGATGAGTAATTCCCCTCTTTAAAAATGTCATTGTAAAAGTATTGACGAGTAGAGGTATACTTATGTCACTCAAACTCGTGACTCCGAATAGAATTAAGGGCAAAATCCAAGTGTATTAACCAGTCTCTCAACCCATACACC